ATAAACATGACTAGGGCATCATGTACTACATACAACCCCTGACTGGGGAAACCCTCTGTAAAACTTACTAGTAAAGTGCAGAATTTAAGTATCTACGATTAAAGTCTGCTAGAGATGATCAGTAAATTATAATATGTAAGGAGAAGGGAATATTGTTATTTTAAACTAAAAGGTAAGTTAAAATGAGGAAATTGTACCTCCTAATAAAACTTGCCCCTAAGTAGAAGTTTATCCCTTGTTTCCAGTTCTGGATTCTGTTGCTCCTTTATTGTGTGACTTTATATGATTCACTAAAAGATTTCCATAAATACATCTGGATTTCAAGCATTCAGCCCCAGGCTTTCTTCAAGAAACCTGAAACACTCAAAACTTGGAGAGATATTTATGATCATCAAATCCAGCATATTAAAAGGCAGGTGATGAAAATCAGAGAAAAACTTGAAACTTGAAAAATGTTCATCTTAATTTCTCCTGCAGATGCAGATCATTTTACTTTCTTATTGCTAATAATTGTTATGAGAATTAATTAGCTCATGTCTGTAAATGCTTTGAGAGCCTTAACTGGAAAGTACTAAAGAGATGCAAAGTGTTAATATATTGTACTGAAAGAATGGCAAAAATGAAGGCGGGGAAGAAATAAAAAATAATAATAATTAAAAAAAGAGAAAGATAAATCTTCTGCTCCGTACAACACAATAAAAATAATTTTGACTACAAAAAAAAAATTCTCATGCTTTTTTGGTCCTTGGAGTGCTAAAGCTCTTTTCTGGTATGTAGGTATAATACAAAATACTCTGATCCATGATCATGGCCCATGACTAAAAGAGAGCAGGTGGATGTTAGCCTTGGGCTGAGCTCCTCTTTCTCCTCCATGGAGTGTGCTGCAGTCCCCCACTTGGGTGGGGACACGCGTGGGACGTGCAGAGCCCTCCTTTCCGTGCAGTTCTGCACAGGGAGCAGGTGCTGGGCAGGGGCTCGGAGCTGGAGGGGCCGAGTCCTGGCTCCCTCTTCTAACGGGTCCCCGACTTGGGTGCAGGGGGGTTGCATGTCGCTGCTGCAAAAGAGAGGAGTGTAAGGACAGAGGAATACCAGGTAAAATGAACGCATTCCCAGCTTGCTTCTGGCACCGCTGTACCTACAGCTAGGAGAAGGGGAAGGACTGGCCACCAGGAAAGCCACATCTGCTGGGGGGATGCAGGAAAAAAGAAAAGGAGAGGAGCAGGACAACACAGTGTTTCCACACAGTGATGAGTACCCCAAGTATCCTATGACTACACACAAACAGAGTGCATTAGAAAAAAAAAGGCAGGTCTATGCTTTTTACCAACATTATTATTGCCAAGATACCACCTATCAAGTCATACAGGTACCTTGGAAGAGGGGGTTGTATAAAAGCTTCTTGAGGATAGCAGCTGAAACCACTGAACAAGAAAAACAGGAATAGCAGGGGAGAGATGGCACACCATCCCCGGAAAGGGCTTCTGCCAGGATTCCTGGGCGATGATGGACGGGAAGGGTGTCCTGAAGGGTGAGGACACTGGCAGGGCACAGCTATGTGCTAGTGGCCAGCATGGACAAGAGCTCAAGTGTGGGGACGAGCTGCCAGAGCCACAATCTCCAGGCGGGACTTGTACTGTGAAACCACCTTGGAAGAACTGCTGTGGCTGCTCTCAAATCTTAGGATAATATCCCAGATTGACCTTGGGTATTTGTAAAAATAATGGTTACAATACCCGTTAAAAAGGGGCATTAAGAAGTGCAGCTGCTGCACGTGGCCATGTTTTTCAGCAGCGGGGCTCAGGGGTATCAGGTATCTGGCGTGGCTGATAACCTCCTTCCTGGTAACGGCCTGGAGCCAGGGACTTCCCCGCAGCCCCAGAGAAAACGGGTCAGTATTAGAAACAACATGAAGCTCTGACTGGGTGTGAGCCAACAGCACCTGCAGGTAATGGACTACCTGATGTGGGATTGCTTCTAATTAAAAAAAAAAAAAAAAAAAAAAGTTGAGGAAATACAGTGACACGCCTATCACTGTTTAGAGGGGAAGGAGAAAAAAAAAAAAAGAAAGAAAAGAAAAGAAAAGGTCAGTTTCAGAAGGGCTATCACCCTGTATCGGAGACGTAGAAGCTCTGCTGTGGGACCGCTTAGCCCACGAGGCGGAGCGGGGTGGCCAGGGCACGCAGCGGCTGACGTGCGCGACCCAGGACAACATGGCGCGCGGGACGCCGCGCGCACCGCCCACCTCCCTCACTAAAAATGGATGCCCAAGGGCATCTCCCCACTTTCCCCCGCTTCCGCCCTCTTTAAGTCACCTGACGGGCAGTCTCCGGCCCGGCTTCCGCCCTCTTTAAGTCACGTGACGCGCAGTCCCCCGGCCCGGCAGCTCTTACGGGAAGCCAATGGGGACAATCGGGCTCTCGGTTGCGCCTCGCAGCGGCTTTTATAAAACAAAAGGTGTTTGGCGTTAGCGGATCTGTTTAGAGATTCCAGTCGATGCTGGAGGAGCTACAGAGGGGCTGCTTGCAAAGTGGGGAAAAATCAAATAAAGGGGGAAGCAGTAATTCGAGTTGCATGATTTGATAACCTTGTTTATATAATGGATTTCTGGAGGGATTCACGTCATGCTTGTGCTCGGGTAATGTACTTTCATGGTCTGCGTCCATAACTGTACCGTGCTAAGCACGTTTTGCTATTTAGGCTAGATCTGGCTCTGCTTTCCCTCAGCTTGCTCCACTAGTGACCGTATGGGTGATCGCTGCAGTGGTGGCCGTGCCATGTGAGGAAGAAGTCCTTTGAGTCCGTAATTACGTTTCCATAGCCCTGCTCAAGATGCTGGTCCTCTTTGCCTTGTCCCGGGCC